GGAGGGGGGGGATTACCCCCTCCTGAGGCATCAAATTTTTGCGTTACCCCTTTACAAAATCATCAAATTTTTGCGTTACCCCTTTACAAAATTCATGATTTTGGATAGAATTTTTCTCATTTTGCTAGGGTTTTTGGATCATAGATGAAATTTTCCTATTTTGCTAGGAGTTTTTGAGAAAATTACGACCCCCCCAATCCCCCCCTGAATTTTTCAGTCTGCCCAGCTATGCGTAATAGGCACTGCACTGTCATACTGATATTTTACCGTTTAGTGCTTTGTCGGTATAGATTTAGTAAAATTTCGATGCCATTCTCGTATTATAATTCACAAAATAGTTGATTTTTTAATGTTTATAAATAATCGAAAAAATAAAATTATGGTATTATTACCTTTTTCTTCGCTCTCACAACACATCAACGAACGACAAATACGAATTTTATTTTGTATCTTTTGATGAAGCTAAAATTTTCCTAAGTTAATCGAAAGTTATGAATTTCACGATTCAATACTTGAACTGATAGTTCAAATCAGATTTTCAGTTGGTTCTTTAATATTTAATAAGGAAAGAGATTCATAGAATGATGGAAAATGTGCTTTGTACAAGACTACGTGTGATTACACTAACGTTGCAATATTAACAAGGTGACATGAACTGTCAAACTGTTTTTTCGTCATATTCAATTCCCTTGCGTCGAATTAAATTCGCTACTATTTCGAGCATCCTCCACCAAAATCGAACGTTAAAATTCAAATTGAGAGATTATTTGAAATAAATCAATCCAATATACATTTCTTTTCAATATAAAATTTTTAATGAAATAAAAAAGTCAGTGCTTTCTGGATTTAATTAGCATTTATTGAAAGCGTTTTTGAAAGAAATACCAAACTATTACTGGTGAAGTGAGTAATTTAACATAAGAAATTCAATATTTTAAAGTGTTGTATGTGGATCACTGGGAATTGATACCATAAAGGAAATTGGATTGAATGATTGAATTTATAGATTGATTCTAGTATGAATGGTGATCCAAGTGATGAATTTTCGCCGTAAAATGCATCATGCCAATCTCGCACCGGAACGGCTTTTCACCGTGCTTTTGTATGTGCTTTTTGAAAACATTTTTGTCAGCAATGACATACTTCTTGCAGATATGGCATTCATATCGACGTAATTTACAAACTTTTTCGTGACTTTCTTGGTCGATCTCTTGCGAAAATCCAGTGAAACAGCCACGGCAATGAAACGGTATTTCTTTGGTGTGAGTCACTTTGTGTTTCTTCATGCTTTGCAGAGTTGTGAATCCTTTGCGACAAACATCACACTGAAAGGGCTTCTCGCCGGTGTGAGTTAACATATGTCGATTGATGTGGTGCTTGTAATGGCTGGAGTATTCACAAAGTTGGCACTTTAATCGTTTCTTCACCTTCTTTGCAGATGATTGATCATTCGATGATGATTTCCGAACCAACCATGATTCAACGTGTTTTCTTGGAGATCTAGCTGGTCCACCTGTCGTTTTGAAACTTTTGGCTACTTTCGTACTATTGTTCAATGTAATACGTTCATTTGCTGAGTCCATTGCACGATGAGTATCTACAATAAACGGCTTATCATCGTCCGCTTCCATTGCATTATCTATTTCTGCTGTAATTGCCTCGAAACTGCTCTTCAAATCGTTATCTTGACAATCAATGCGGCTTGGGTTCATGTTTGGCATTTCATCGGTATAGCTTCCATCGCCGTCAAGTTGATCCGCGTACTGAGCAGTAGATAGCGCATCCAATAATTCCATTTTAACCTGATTGTTTGCTTGGTCCTCGTCATCACTTGAGTCGATGATTTCGACGAGGCCATTGATGTCTTTTTGGGTATTGTCTCTACCATAGTTTGGGATGTGAACTGAGCCAAACCTTTCATATTGATTAGACGCATCTCCAGCAACGCTGGCTTGTTCTTCCAACATTGAATTGATTGTAAATTCATCATATGTATTCTTGATCCTATCAAAAATGAATATTAATGAAAAATGCTGAAAAAATGCTTCTACTAACTGCGGTCTACTAACCGATCAGTTGAAACCCGCAAAAAATATTCCCTGAATTCGGCATTCAATAATAATCCACTGCATTTGAAAGCTATTTTAATGCTTCCCAACGAAATTGTCATCTGACGCTCAAATTCAGTCAGCATTTTGTGCATCTCCTTTCTCCAGTCCATGGTTGATGCATTCATCTATGTATGAAAACGCTGACAGATTAGAAGGAGTATTTTTATTTGAAAAAAATATTTCAATTGTCAAATGACTCAATAAGGTATTTGTTACACAAATTTTGCACCAATAGACGCGATATTAATTTTATTTTTGGCACTTTTCACACAACGAAAAGTTTATCGACAAATTTTACCAGTTTTCCATGCAATTTTGAAATTAGTTATTAGTATTGAATAATGCCGTTTCTACCTTTCACTTTGGTCTTCTAAAAAATCAGTGAAAAATCTGAATTTTATTCGTTTGGTGAAGCGGAACTTTTCTTGGATTAATAGAAACTGAGTTGTATTTTCACCAATTTATTGAGATTTTCAGTTAGTTCTTAAATATTTGATATCGTTGGTGATTCATAGAATAATGGAAAACGTGTTTTTTTTATAAGACGACGTGTGATCGACCTGGTGCCATATTAACGAGATGATACAAACTGTCAAAGTGTTTTTTTATTCCTTTCAATTCGCCTTGTAACGAATTTAATTCGCTGCTATTTCCTTTCGAAAATGTTCCGCTAAAATCGAACATTATATTTAAAATGAAAGATTAATTGAAATAAGTCAATCAAATTTATTCTTATTTAATGAAATAAAAGTGCCAGTGCTTTTTGAATTTAATTAACATTTATTAAAAGCATTTTTCAATTATGGAAACTATTACTAGAGAAGTGAGTCATTTAACATATAAGAAATTTAATGTTCGTGTAGATTGCGTCTGCAATTGATAGAGTCGATTTGACATGAAAAACAAAATTCGATTGGAATGATTGAATTTATAGATTGATTCTAGTATGAATGGTGTCCAAATGTATCTTTAAATTAACTTTTTGTGTAAAACGATTCATACAGATTTCGCATCGAAACGGTTTTTCACCGTTGTGTTTTCGCATATGAACTTTCAATTGTGTTTTACCCACAGTAGAAAACTTTTTGCAAATATGGCATTCATATCGACGACACTTGCACACTTTTTCATGGGCTACTTGTTCGGTCTTCCGCAAGAATCCACTGAAACAGCTTCGGCAATGGAATGGGATTTCGTTGGTGTGAGTCACTGTGTGCTTCTTCATGTCTCTTAGTGTGATGAATCC